AAATTGCATTGATAAGAAATGAATGTGCCTCTCGGCGTTTAATTGCCAAGGAAGAACTGCACTACTCGATGATCTGAGTTCAATATTCCAGACGATGCATGATAAACTGATAAACCAAACGACCGGAACCATGGATGACTCAAAAGGTTTTTGCCGCCTAGAAAGTAACTGTATATTGACTAGAATGTCGTTTTCGACAAATATCAGTTCCACAGAAATCATTTTTTTTATCATCTTCGGTTTCATCACCAATAACCAATAGAAACTGTCAAAAGCTTGTTTGTAATCTCATGACACATCGTTGCACTAAAATTTAACAATGAGCAAGACTAAAAAATTGGGATATGAAATTGTGAAAGCTGCACTTGATGATGTATTCAATCAAAGAATCTGAGTCAAGCAATTGAAAACGATTAGATCATGATAAAAATGATAAAAATGATCATGATAAAAATGATTAAAATGATCATGATAAAAATGACCGTTTCCCCAACGGTTGCAAGGAACAACTTTTTTGTTTTGATCATTGTAGTGCTCCATGGTTTGGAATGCTGTGCAACTGGTGTCGTTGTACTGGACGTTGAGTGGAAATGTAGCATGAGTGTCGGCTACCATATTCGTGACATCCACCATTTTCTTACAGGGGCATTCTTTGCTAATCTCCACATTATTAGTTGGGTTGTCACATGGACAACCAGCTGAATCGGAGAGACATTTTCGTGACCGTTTCCATCCTCCGCTCTCATCACGTATGTATCCACTCCATTGGGACCAAAAACCATCCTTTGGGCAACATGGGGCCTCACTCGATAATAGTTTGTCCTTTGGTAATGGTCCACATTGAGATGTTTTGTTAATTGTCATTGGAACATATGGAATACAGCAGGTTCGTTGAGCCGGATAGACGCAGACGTGGGTGTTGCAAAGGATTTTACGAACGGATTCTCCTCTGAATATCTCATTAAAAAATCTTCTGGAAATTTTGACTCACTTGCAAGCACAATTCGGAAAATTCGTGCTC